CAAAAGCTGATGAAGCATTGAAGGCCAAAGAAAGAAATGAGGAGGAAGCAAAGAGAAGAAAGGAGGAAGGTAAAAGAATAGGTTTAGGGTCCTTCTGCTTCCCCCTAGAGAATTGCAGTGTGGCATGACTGACTCTCCCTGTGCCACAGAATATAATCTCTGGACTTGTAGGGTACCACATGTCATTTCACAAACCTAAATTGTGGGCATCATTCCATGTATACTAATATATCTTAGCATAAGATTAGTTTATGAGTATCCTAAAATAGAAATTGGAAAGAATAGTAAAGCTGATGTTGGTTTGTTTCCTTCTGACTTTTGTCTTGATAGCTAATAAACTATCAAAATTAGTTATAGAAATTGATTGAGTTCATTCATACATTTAAAAATACTTTAGCATTGGTAAAGTCCTCTTGCCAACTAAATCTTTTAAAAAACAAAAGCTTTTAACAGAGAACAGTAAAAGCTAAAATGTCAAATGGTCATTCAAATTAAAAAATGCATGCCTTAATATTTATGAATCAAGTATTCTTTCTTTTTAAAAACAGTTAAATATTGTACAAACACATTTTATAACTCTACAATTTTGGTTTCCCCTTTAGTTCGCTGTATGTGATTTATGTACATGAAAATTTTGTACTTTTTCTCCATTGAGGCTTTAAGTATACTGTTATAAATTGAGTGCAAGATGCAGGCAAATGTTTCTCAGTGAGTTTAAGGTAATGATCTTCTGCAAGTGGCAATCATACCACTTCAGCAGAGCCATTATTTAATCTCGTGAGATTTTTGAAAAGTGAAAAACAGATAAAATGTGCCAGATTTTTGGCTTTGACTATTATTGTTTTAATCTGAAAGTTGAAATTTTTCCCTTAAAACATATAAATCTTTCACTAGACAACACAGCCTCTAACTACAAGCTGATACCCAGTAGAATCTAAAATGTTTAGGCATGGTGATTTAGCATGCTAGAAGCAGCACCCCATCAAATCCAGTTCCCTAAAGTCAGTCCAAGCGGGGAAAGGAAAAAAAGCCTGTCGAGTTCGGAAACAGAACCATACAAATATGTGTATTCACAGTAAATGTGCTTGGGTTTATATATACAAATGTATAGTCGTCTTACCTTATTTGACATCAAGAAATTCTGACTTTATAATCTTATCCAGGATCAACTAAATTCATGATATACTAAGAAAAAAAGTTTCAGTGACGAGAATCTTCAGTAATACTATATTCTTTTAAACTTATAAAATGTACATATTGGCACTGTTGGTGGAAGCAGTCTATCATATTTTAGTTATACTTATTATACAGTCTCAGGAAAGATAAATATACTAGATAGAAAACAATTTTTAAAAAATTTAAGTACTCCTATATTATGTAGCATTCTGATCAATATAATTAATAAAATAATGGCCCTTATGAAACATTGTAGTCCTAAAATGTCACAAGAATAGGCCTTATAGCCAACCATGAAAGTATATTGCAGTAGTTATTAATCTAATCCCATTAATTCAGTTTTAAAGTCCTAATTAATTGAGGATGACACTGATAATAACCATAGATTTTTAAATGGCTATCTTATTGTTATGAAAAACATATTATGAACTAGTATTCATAATTTCTTCACACTTTGATTTCTTGAATTATAACATGAATGAATGAACAAATGAATAACTATTTTCTCTTCAGTCTTAAATATTTGCTTAAGTGGTTATCTTGAGCTTACAACAAATTCTAAATAATCCAGTTGAAAGTGGAAGCCAACTTTGTTATGTCCCTTCTCTAAGACAGAACCTTACCCTTTAAGCGATTTTTCTCATGAACTGCAGCCATGCAAAATCAAACAAAGGAATATAAAAATATAATCAGTGTTTGCTAACATGGATTTACCTTTGAGTCTACTGAATTTTCAGTGCATAAAAAAATAAGAAAATCAGTAGCACAAATGTAGAAGAAAAATTCTCTTAAGATATATAACACTAACTGCAAAAGCTAAAAAAATGTTTTTCATGTATGAGGTGACTTTTGCTTATTGTTGGTACATAAGACATTCACCTGACTATTTGTTATCATTATTTGCCTCCTAAAATTTTTCTCATGGATTGTCTAAGTACTTAAATGCTACAAAATTAACCTCTCCCAGGAAATCATTAATGTATGAGCTACATTTATGTTATTTCACATAATTAGTCTAGCTGCAAATTGAAACTTAAAGTGCATCAGTATATGTATGTCTGTGTACTGTACTGTATCCAAAATACTAATCTTTATTTCCAATTTCAAGACACTAGTAATTTACTGTCACATCATTTATACAATTCATCTCTCACTCTCAGCATATTGATATATAGCACAGACCTGAAAGCATTATTAAGTATAGATAATTGTCTGTCCACCTCTCTTTATTCACTGTCATCTCAAGAAAACTATTGTATTAGCATAGCAAAATCTGTGCCTTGCAAAGTTAGTCAATTATATAATTCTTTGAGTGTTCTTAAATCAGTGTTATAACTATGTTTGCAAGTATTGTAGCCAAGATAAAATGCTATACACCAAAACTTGTCCAGGGTAATAGCTTTGTGCTCTACCCTTTATACGGGTCCTGTGTAGTTTGTATGGTCCTTATATGTAGCTTAATTGATTTTCCACTTTACAAAAGTATCAACAACTAAATTGCTGATGCATCTTTTTTCTTGAATCATTTACTAACTTTCACTTTGAGTAATACAAATAATACATCTTTTAGTAGAAGTCAATTGAATATTTAAAGTGTAGGTTTACAGTTTTACTTTTTAAAAGTACTTTTTTGAATTTTAGGAAAATTGAATAATACCAAATCTTTCCATTCTGTGTTCTTATTCTTTGACCAAATGAATATTTGACTTAGACTCTCTAATTTTCTTTGTATGTTTGGAAATACTTTATAGTTTTTTAAGATTAATAATTCAAATCATTTCAACTTCTTACTTTGATTTCTTTTTTCTGTTGAATGCTTTAGCATAAGTACTTAAGTTTTCTGAAATTTTTTTAGATTTAACCGAGTATCCAGTTAAGGGTGCTAATTATGTTTTAAATCCATTGTCAGCAGAATAGTCTTCCTTTGTACTTGACTTTTCTCTAACATGAATTTATTTGTTGTATAAGTATAGTAGCTTTTGAATTTGTTTTCCCCTTTGTTTATTCAAAATAGATCTATTCATCTGTTAGGTTTTTTAACTTCAAATATTTTTGTTTCCAGAAAGAGTCAGGCGCCCCATTCTAAATTATTCATGGAAATGGTGGACAGTGAAAATAGGAGCATAATATGAGGCAGTTCAAATGAAGACTTAGAGAAATCCTCAAATCTCATTTGTTTATTTTAAAATTCATCAGATCTTTTGCCACACTTGACTGACAAGAAGTAAAATAGATTACCCTTAATTTATCCCTTTTCTTCCTTCCTTCATCTCTCCCCCTTCTCTGTCTCCCTCCTTTCTTTCCTCTGCACCTTCCCTTCCCCTCTTTATCCCTCTTGCCCTTTCTTCCTTCAATCCCTCCCTCTCTGCTTCCTTTAACCTCTTTCCTCCTCCCATCACCCCTTCTCTCTCCCTCTCCTTAGCATTTTTTTTTTCTAATCCTTTGGTAAAGGTCAGATAAAGAATATTATGAACTGAAAGGAAAGGAAAATGCCAAGCAATTTATGTATTTTAACTCTCTTAAATCCCCACAAATTGCATTAGGTCTGTGCTATTAGTATACCTGAACTATAGGAAGGATGGAAAACTAAGGCACCATGCTGTTTCTCTTGCTCTAGAGCCAGTGAGCAGTGCTGCCAGGACCCTGCCCACGCAGTCTGATTTCAGTACACTTCCTCTTTAAGTAGCTTGCCTAAATCACAGATGTTACAGTTACCATCTGATTTTAAAATATGGTTTAATTCTGCCTCTATCCTTTGCCTGTTTTGGATCCTGCTCTGTAGTCCCGGAGCATTTATGTATTGTAAGGCATCGTGGCCTCAGTTGACACTATCTTATTGAGTTGTTTCACTTGGGTTTCTGGGACACATACGAGGAAGAATGTTTCAGGGAGAAGCACATTTTGTCATGGTGTCCTTTGCTCATAATGTCTGTCTGCTTTTCTTACTTATACTGACTTGCCTATGTAAAACACTGACAGTATCCCTGCCACCTGCAGTTTTCAGAGCCTAGACCAGAGGCAGACCTAGTTGATCAAGTTCCTTATTCTGAGATTTTGGTACTTTGCGGATTCTAGTCAAAGCACCTGTAACTCCTAGTCCTCATACTGAGAGAGAGAACTGCTACAATCCCTACTTTCCTAACTGTGTAATTCATCACCTAATACCCAAAGACATGTCCTTTGTTCCCTCAAGAGATTGTTTATAAAAGGTTGGAGTAAAGTTAAACAGTAAAATTTAATGGGTACATGAGTGTCATTTAAGCATTTACCCATTATTCTGTTTGCATGTTGACACGAAATCAGAAATACAAAGATGGTCCTCTTGAGCTCTTGTCCCAAGTTGGTTGCTGATTTGTAATATATAGTATCATTTTTCTTTTTTATTAGTATACATTTACAGTACATAATGATTGCATTTTTTGTGAAGAGTTGGTCCATGTATATAATAATCTTAATTCTTTTTTTTTTTCATCTACTAACCTTCCCTCCTTTGCTGTCCTTCTATTCTTGGTCTCCTTCCCATTTGCCAAAGCCCTATTTTTTTCTTAGAATTAAACACTTGAGAGTGCCTACCCATTTTGACTTATTTTATTCAGTAGTTCCATTAGAAGATTTAAAATACCCCTTTAGGAAATTTATGTTTCCTGTGTTATCAGATAATGATAGTTCTACATCTTTTATAATATAATATTTTTTAAATGTCTGTATAGTCCTCTAATACATTAGCTCTAATGTTAAGAGTACTATTTTCTTTAACAGGAAAATTAATCTGCTTAGCTCAGACGCCTGCTTTATGACATATTTTTCCTCAAGTTGTTATTCAGTCAAAAATCATTTGAAAACATTCATTCATTCATCTTAGCCATCTGTCTTATTTCCCTCAGCAGTGATTT